GACCAAGACAGGTTAAATAATTTAATAAGGAACTGCTTGTAATTATGTTATTTACAAGGTATGACAGAGGGTGGGAGAGGGAGCAGAGCAGTGGACGGGTTTGAGTGACCCCTGGAGCGTGGAGTTTGAATTATGGAGATGGGGGGCTTCGAGGTGAAGATGGACTAGAGGAGAACAAGGTGACTTTTCACCCCAACACATTTAACTTTTAAATCCAAATAAACGTCTCATGTTACTAGACCATCACACTGGAAAGGAGAAAAAATGAACTAATCAAGTCCAACTCCATGGGCTTTGAAAAGGAGTTAGTTGCCTTTGTTATAGGGAAAAAAAAAAATCAATGAAATGATTCCAAGCACAGAGAGAAACGTTCAAAAATAAACAAGGGGGGGGCATCTTGAAATTTTTCTGTCAAATATTAATTACCATAATTAATTAAGACAGAATAGGATTCTAATCACAAGCCATTCAATAAAGTATGCAGGTCCTGTTCTAATGACAACATAAACTATTTTACCAATCGCTTCATTTATTCCAATAAATATGGAATTCTCATTAGCATGTCAAGGAAGCTAAATGAAAAACAAATACACCAGATACATGTGTCAGTCCCCTTGTCTCTGGACCCCAGGACAGCCCAACTTAGCAGTGAGTACTCGTGCAAAGGCATCAACTTTCTCACCTGTTTGGTCATGGAATCTATGAGGCGAACATACAGATCCTGCTCTGTTCTAACTCCTGCAAAAAACAGAGACAAATTCTCATCAGGAATTTAGCCTGCACCTCAGGAAGGGCACTTGGGCCACAGGAAGTCTGTCACTGAGGACTGCTGCTGCTGCTGCTGCCGTGATGCAGCAGAACTCAGGCAGCCCCTTCCAATGGGAAAAAGAGAACCCCAACCACTTCTGGCTTTATTTTGTCCTTTTCTTAATCAAGAACCTTAAGGCTCTCAGGGCTTGCACTTAAAGGTGCAAGAAATCTCTCCTGGTGGAGAGCAGGCCTGGTCGCTGTGCCCGGTGGGCCCATGTGGTCATTTATTTTCAGAAAAGAGAAAGCACCGAATGAAACTGAGTCTGAACTCTTTCTGAGGTCTCTCGAGGATTTTTTTTAAAAAGTCGTGCACAGGAAGTGAGTTATGCTCGGTTCACGGAGCTCCCCCCATCCCAATAATTAACATTAATTCGCAAAATTGAAAAAAGTCACTTGAAAGTGATGTTCTGCTGGAGCCCTTATCGATCCCTCTTTACTTTCTACTTCAAGCCCCACCGGTTAATCATGTGAAGTGCCATCGACTTATTGATCGTTTATGTTTTGTTTTCCTTCTATGCCATGAGAAGCTTTCGTGTTTACATCCATGTCATTTTAATCTCGAAATCTTTACGTCCTTTAACCATCGCGGAAAAGGAAAGCCAGCGGCCGCGGCAGAGGAGGCGGCAGCGCGCGGGCCGGGAGCACTTACCGTTGCTGTACAACAGCTGGAGCTTGTAGTGGATGCCGTTGTTGGTTTTCTCGTTGTTTGGCTCCTGAAAGTAACGATAAATAATTGCATTTAGTGTGACCGGTGTCGGGCGCGGCCACCGCGCTCCGTCCCCCTCCGCGGCCGAGGCCCCTCGGCCTCAGCAGGGCAGGGCTCGCAGCGGCGCGGTGATGTCCCTTTCCTGCTGGAAGCCCCGGGTCCTGCTCGCCCGGAGTCAGTCCGAGGGCGCAGAGGGCTTGGCACGTGGCGGCGGCGGGGTCGCCCGGCGGGGCCGTCG